TCCCAGAGAGTGACCCATCAGACGAGCGTCGATTACCACTCTGACACGATAGATATCGCTGATGTGAAGTCTCTACCAAGAACTCACATGCGAGTACTTCCTTTTCCACGACCCTTTCCTTTCCGCTGGGCTTTTTCCCCACCCCAATCGGTAGAGTGACCCTGACGCTGGGAGTGCTGGTAATGCTCCCAAACAGGGTGCGACAAGCTCCCACCATCTTGGTTCAAACCTCGCTCATGGGAGCGATGTTGAACTTTATGGCCGCCATACCCAAGGATATCTCCACCCCGAGCTGGAACAGATTCGCCTGCTGCCATACGCAGAATCGCGTCCACAACTTGGGAAGGGGATGGTGGATGAGAATTCTCCTCGAGATTCTCTTGGGTATACTGGGGAAACGATCGCATCAATCTCCCAACCACATAAAGCTATAACCGAGACAGTACGCTGCATACTCTGCTTATGAGAGCATCCCAATCCCCAGGACTATCAACCAAACACTAAGCGATAAGCAAACGACTTCAAGTGCTCTGAACATTTTAGATACAGATATCGACTGTCTTGGACTGTATTACACATAAGATGAATATATGATATAACGAGAAAGGAGCACGTTCAAGGGAATTCACATCAATATCCGGACGAATTGATGAGCAATCTCCCTGACGGCCCCAGTATTCGTAAACACATACAAATCTGTGATGCTAGCAATTAGGCAGCACCAACTTGAGGAACTTGAAGAATCTAGAGCTCCACGTCGTGTACACCGAGACGTTTTCCCATGTCCAATAGCTCGTTTCGGTAGTAGCTCTCAAGCTTGTCGTAATCTTTCACGATACTAGGATCAACAACCATGTTTAACATCAACTTTCCATTATAGGACAATACGATCACCTATGAATAAGCGAGTATCGACATCATTCACAGTGTTCGTTATGATGGCTATATTACCTGATCTATGATGTTGAGGAATATAGGATAGATGAACTCAATCTCCTTCCCAGCGAAACAGCAAGGCTGTTGGGCTCCAGGGACATTGGAGAATACAACGGAATTCCGAGCGAAGAGATCCCTACTCGACTTCTTGGCGAAAGCAGAGGGTACGAGAGGCATCACTGTGTTGGTGATGAACAGTGAAGCCGGCGATATGAGAGACCGCTTGATACGATTCATACTCGATCCAGTAGCTAGAAGCCGCGAGATGGAATCCTTAGATCTGATGGCCTAAGGCAACACAAGAATTGAGAATGAGAAGACATGATATCGAGAGGCTACCTTGCTTAGATCAACACTGCAAAATGACCAACTATTGCCCAGTCTATCGCCTTGAGGCGGAGTGGTGGCACCAAATTGAAGTGGGGTTCCCATTGGTATCAACATCCTCATGATGGTCTTACTATCCACAGCTTCGCCTCCATACCGCCTCATGGCACCGACCATCGCACCCAACAACACATCATTAACTGTAGCCTGGCAGAGGATAACTCTGACATCGACGGGGAATGACAGCAGTACAGGCTTACCTTTCTAGGCGACTTGTTCTTCACAGCCTTGACATAATCCAGGGAGAATGGTTGGAAGCAAATAGACTTCCGAAGACCGCTGTACTGGAGATCACCCTTACGATGAGCAAGAGAGGAATTGAATCCGTACTCGGTCTCATAACATTTGCCATTTTGCAAAACAAAGCTCAAGGCTGATCGTAACTGAGAAATCACAAGTAAGTTACAACGAATACTTCACTCAACGATAGTACCCATTCCAATGCATATAGCAGTGCAAATACGGGCTTAGCCAGCGGATTCATCCTTTTGGGTTTCTTATCCTTAGGATTAGTGAAAGTGATAGGACTTCCGTCAAGATTCGTTGCGGTCTTCTCCAACACTTGTACCTATAATATGAGACATTTTCGAGGCAAAGACGAGTGATGTAAGCAATGTCCTACGAGACTGAAGCCATCCCCTATGGTGTGATGGCATCGGAAAAGCATGCAATCCTTCACATCCACAGCTCCTTTGGCAGCGGGCAGCATATAAATTCTCCACAATGGCTTATCAGTTGGTAATGGCTGGTTGATAATCTGAAAGCAAGACAATCTTGGAGGACGCGAGTTCAACGAATAGACAATAATACCTCCTGAATCTTATCATCCAATGCTTTGCGGTCTTCGATTACATCGCTTGCGAGGATATGCTCCGACAGATCAATATTATCTACGACCTTCCATCCATGGGTCTCCACGTCAGGGATGCTTGAAAAACGGACGAAGAATAGTAACTAAATGGAACGACGAGTGGTATATAAACTAACACTATCAATTATCCCACCTTCTCCTTGACAACTTCTTCGACCTGCTTTCTACTAGGCATCGAGTCTTTGAACAGCATTGCACAATTAATAACATTGCAGGTAGAGGGTAGGTTACACTCCTTGGGGAAACAGTCACTCAGCAACATGTGTTCCTCCATCCAAGTCATCGGCCGCGGGCCTGAACCTGATCAAACTACGATAATGTTCAGCTCTGTGCGTGCATAACGCGTCTGCGACACTCGACACTTGGGATCTAGTATCACCTGTTCTGAAGCGCATAGCCCAATGGAATAGGATATTCCCCAACACTGCCACGACTAGAGTCAGTATGGTGACCACCACAAGGTAGGTATAGTCGCAAGAAAGCATGACAATTGAGGTCAAATAAGAACTATCTGCAGTACGATGCACTGAATTCCCTACTACGAATCATTAACTAGAAGTAATTCACTTCAATCCGGAATATTTGGACAGCTAGGCATGTGGAGGAGGAGCTTCACAAAATAGTCAATTACCACTCCCATACAGACCAGGTTAGTCTGACTAGCCACATGAAAAATTACTGGACGATTATACACGGGGCAGAAAGTCCGAGTAGTGATTTGCTGCAGCGTTTTAACACAAATGCGTATCAACTTGGCGCGCGCCATTAAATGTCCCCAGGTGCCTAGATGATTGGCCTCAGACAGCGAAGCAGTGATGTAGTGTCAATTCCACGTAGCAAGTTAGCATTCACGTGCTGTGGACCTAGCGTCAGCCCTAAGCTATTCAACAACCGCGCATCTCGAACGACTCGCAACAATCATTCATCTGGGCATCTAGTCATCATAGGTGGTTTCTTTGAGCAACTTCGCAAGAACACCGATAGATGATTGTACAACGGTCACAGACTCTCGAATTTCTAAAGCATTTTCATAACGTATCTCTGGTCCCGTGACATTGGTTAACTGGCGATCGGTTGAGGTAGCACTAGATGATATAAGGGTTAGCTAGTTAACACAAGTTAAACACCGACACGAAGAGCGCGTCATACAGTGCGTCTCCGTGACACACGTGCCTATCATCGTGGTTGGTCGACCGTGCGCGGCGTCGCATGACCTGCACGCGCCCGCCGTAGCGCAGCCCGCGCGGCGACAGTAGAGGCGCTCATCGGACTGACTCGATGCTTCGAGGGTCTAAGCCACAGACACCTTCTTCTTTCCTGCCCACCAGACCCACAGGCTCAGGAGTGGGATATTTAGCATGTAGCTAGAATGCGATCTAAGGGCGAGGCGCGATAGAAATACCCTCCGTAATTTGCAGATCCTTACTAACTACTGACACCAACAAAACTAACAAAAGGTCACAAAATAAAAAGTTCCGGATAACTATCGCCAAATTTTAATCAAACCATCACGGCCAGCAGTAACAAGTATATCGTATTGCAAAGAGAGGACACACATGTCCAGTATAGCGTCTCTGTGTCCATCATCCACTCTGAGATCCGAGTCGCCTTGCTCCTCTACAGGAGTTCCCTGTCCACGAGGTGTCATAGAGGATTGATGATGACCGCTAGAAGCTGCATACGATGGGTTGGTCATGACTTGAACCCCTCCCAATTGCAGTGGCATAATTGAGGACTGATTGGAGAATGGTATGACAGTTCCCGCCTCTTGAGGCTGCCACCATCGCACTACAGCATCATTGCCTGTGCTAAGCAAGGTCCAAGGACCTCCTCGAGATGTAGAGATCTCCAGCATTGATCTCACTACCAAGCTACTAGGATCCGCACACTCCTTCACTTGTTGTGTTAACATATCGGCTCCGACTAAGAAGCTTTGCCTTGGTTGTGACCTCATATCGACGAGAACCGGTAAATTGATCGGATTCGACTGTTCACCACAAAGCATCAACTTAGTCGGCCGAACATCACCATCGAGCGAAGTAAAGTCATATAGTCCCATCATACCATGTGTTCCTTCGGCAAGCCAGAAAGACTTGTTGCCCCCATGCAGAGAGTTGCACATTGCCGTGATGGGGAGTATTCCCGTACCGGCGCCCTCCTGGAACAACTTGTATGTCCGAGTTCGTCGAGACAAGTAGCGAACGTCAAAGAGGCTAACGAAGCCCGAACGTGTACAGAGCACTGTAGTCCTCCCATCAGAGGAGCATAACATATCAGTTGGTACGCCTAGAGAGCTCTCGGGCTCAGCCACATTGAAGACACAGCGACCAGCCCTAACATCAAAGCCAAACACACTGCCGTGATGGTTAGCAGCGATCACAACGTTCTCAATATCAGTATCGAAGCTTTCAATAGCTGCAATACCAGCGTCAAATACGACAGCTGATTTCCCACAAGTAGGAGCCCTCAATGATACCACGGGTACGTCACCTGGAAACATGTTAAATGCCACCATGAGGCAAGTAAGGCTACCCTTAGCAGCCTACTAGTGGTGCTCTATTGGACAACCTTACCTGGCGCGTCCATCCGATATACATAGAGGGAAGGTGAAGCACCGCCAACGACTACTGATTTACAGTTCCGCAAAGCCTTCATCGGGAAGTGATAATGTGTTATAGCAGCAAGGTCCAACTCCTCATCGGGGAGGGGCATCATTTTACTGCAAGTCGGTGCGACATCATCCTCGAGGATGTGTCCCCGCCAGGCACGGAGCTGAGTGAAGACATTCGAGCTTCCGGAAAAGAGAAACCCTACCACGCCATTGCCTCCCATCGCTATGATTAAGCGACCATCATCGCTGGCATCTACCGCAACAACCTGAATGGCCTAGTTCTATAGGAGCGACATGTCATACACGATCCGATGGGCTTCAATAACGAGTAAAATACGAATAGCAGATTCCAATAGAATTGGCTTTGAAACCCACCGGAGTCGTATGAGAGGCCCCTCTCCCATCCACTGGGTGTCCAGAACTCATACTATTCACGCTCTGTGACGATCCACCGCCACCAAAGTCGTATTCGAAATCATAGATTGTGCCGACAAGAGAGCCTCCAGGCCGCCAAGCTGAGGGAGTCGCCAAGGAGTACCTGCCTCACAAGGTACTACTACCCAAGTTTGCCTGTCAGATGTGCAAACTACTGAACTTGTTGATAGTCGGCAGGTCGACAGACAGACTCACCCAGAAGAGTCGTTTGAGGCAGCATGATCTATTTCAACATTGCCAAGAGGGGCTGATTCCGATTGAAGAGATCCGACTGAGATCGACGATTCGCTGATGTTACTCGTGCCTGATGAACACCGTAGACTGGCGAAAAATAGAGAAGAATAGCTCACTATTATGGTCCATAGCGATCGGGGACGATCCAGCCTCCATAGTGGGGCTAGTTACTAATGTCATCCCTTCGACACTTGGTGGGTCAACTCCAGCACGGCATTGCAAATGGAGTCTCTGACCCCAACGTATTATGAATATGCACATCCTTAAGATGCCTCACCTGAGCCCGTACTCTCCTATGACCATACATGCCGTAGCTCTCCCCGTCGTTCCCAAGAACACCTCGTATTTCATTAACTATCTGGAGTTTCTTCTTGCTTACATACAGTGTTTCTTGGGATCCATCTAAACGGTTGAGTATCCCGAGTGCTGGCTTCGGAGGAGGTAACAGTAGATGCCGTGCTCTCCAGTCTTTCAGGAGCTTATTCACAGAACCCTCGAAACCCAGAGTGACATCACCCTCCGCAATAAAGCGATAAGGGAGGATAGCTGGTACATTGGGATTAGAGATAGACACTTTAATGATCTGCATGGGACCAGCGGTGCTAACAGCCATCGGCTCTCCCATAGGTTGTCCATGAGACACTGTGCCTTCGTAGAATTTCTTGGCCAAGCCTATTCTGGCGACATCGGTAGTGTCCCCAAGGGTTTCCCCGATAGTTTGCTGACCAAGTACCAGTTCGTATGAAACGGGACAGAGATATTCGAGATCTCCAAAGCATCTCCATCCATTGGGCAAATATTCGGCCTCCTTGAGATGACTGAATGAGCGCCGTCTAAGATAGACGTACCTACATGAGAGCCGTGCACGGTCTTATGCCGAGGTGGAACAGATTCATTGGAACATGAGGCGTCAAAGTTCATCATTCTTAAGGATACCTTACTGAAGAGCGTTCCCGATGTGTTTCGTAGTAATGCTGCGAATCAAGGCCCTGGCAGTGGCTTGTATACATACATTAGGATGACAAAGATAGGGAACAGCGGATTCGGCAAATCTCATAACCGACTCCCGGTGAACTGAGTTGGGCCCTAACATGATAATTATACATCACCATTCCAGGGTTCCCCCGTATAACCCACCCTCATCAGGTAAAACCCTGTAGTCCCCTAGCAGCTCGGTTGCACCCATCAGAGCTGCTAGGGTGAGCCGGTCATCACCAAGTTCCTTCGACAATGTTTGGGTGAAGTACCTGTATAAACACCCACATTACAACTGCTCGACCGCCACCACGAGCTAGTATAACTTATACTGTATAAGAAATAGCTGTTCCTCATGAAAATCTGATTGACCAGGTCACCAACGGTGGCAGGCCGTCTAAAGCCTATGAGTTAGATGACAGGGATCATGCCCTTCATGTGAATATGGCAAAATATGCATAATGGGGAATACAGCGTAGAGTAGAGTCGTTAGAGTACTTACGGAAGAAGGGCCACGTCAGCGGCAAAAGCCCCTAATAGATTGGCACACCTAGGCGCCAAGCGGCAAAAAGCAACTTTAACTTGAGGGTTGGGGTCGTTCAGAAAGCACATAAGGTAAGGCAAAGTCAGACCCCTGTCAGGAGACCCTTTCTTGGTTTCTTCGTCTTTGTGATCAGAAGGACGAGGGCCCGAAGAAGGGTTCTGGACTGTGAGGGGCGGCACGGTAAGGGAGGATACAGATACATCTGAGACAACAACTTGCATGCACCACTCGGTCTCGTCGACTACTTTTACCATGCGATCCTTTGAGATTCTGGTTTTGGCTTGAATCGGGCTCCTTCGAACACGGTGGCAGCAGCGATGCGAAATCCGGCAGCGCCTGGGGAATGAGTGACAACTCAACAACACCAAGCCCGCTCACTTCAAGGACCGCTAGTTTCACGGCTTCGGCTGCTCTAGGTGGCAATTGGGAAGGATCGGGGCTGTGGGTTGTTGTCGAGGATACCGCCCGACCTGAGAACCGATGACTCCTCTGCATGGTGCGAAGACCTACTACCGTTCGGAGTCATCATTGAGAAGTTATTGCCAGGTGGAGCTCGTTGGAACACTTGTTGTAGATAGGTAGCAACGAAGTTATACATCGCAGCCTTGATCGCTTCAAGACTAGTGGATGGATTACCAGACTGACGACGACGACCACCTCGCTGAGTGAGAACTTGCTATTCTCTATCGCTTACTGGAGCTGACATCTCCCCAATAGTAACAGAGAGGGCGGCCAACCTCACAGCAGCATGTGCAGAGTACGACAGGAGATTGGCATCCGATCTCGTAGCGATAAGGGATAGCAAGACCGGCCAAAGGTAGTCAACGAAAAGGCTGTACACCGCACCTGTGCGGCAACATGAATGTGCCGGTGGCCCTAATTGTGACTTACCTGTGTCAGTGACCCCACCGAATTGGCCTGACGCATACAGCGATTCTTCCGTATCAGCCGTTGAGGGTATACACTCCAAAGCTGCGACGAGTGATCGGAGAGCCTACAGCAGACGAGATCGAATGCTGCTCAGATAGCCGTCAGCGGAGTGACGGCTTACCTGAGTTCGGCACTCAGCTGTCGGCTCTGTACTCAATGCTGCATGGCAATGAGGGATGACCAGCTCGAGCAAGGTATGACGGCTGCAGAAAGGAGCTAGGGTCTCTGATACAGAGGGTAAGATACTATGTATAGTGTGTTGTGGTGTATAGTGACATACCGAGAATCATCAACGATACTTGCCGGGTTCGAGGATGGCTTCCTGCATGCCCGGCCGATGTAACCATCCCTGACAGGAATCTCAATGGGGGAGACACACTGGAAGTGATTGAGTCCTTCCATAGGCTGCCCATGATAAGCAATGATACTAAGCTTACCGATGAGAACGAATAGGACTTCCCGATCGGTATCACCCCCATCTGAGGTCTCATCGATCTCCTGCTCAGGAACAACCGGTCCATCGGGGAAGAAGAGTAGTAGTAGCTCGGTCATGTTGCGTGATAGATGCTTCTCCCAGTCCGCCTGTACCTGATACTCCCAATACTGCTCTCAACGCTCAGTCCACAACACATGCACCTTTCCCCCCTGACAGTGAGCCTCCGCACTTCTCTTCCACAATGATAACAGCATGCCATGAAAGGCTCGACACCTCGATGGGCGTAACTCGGGATGAGGTAATGGACGCCCGTCGCCAGAGATACCACATGCAAGCGGATCGTAATGAGCTGAGTTATCAGTCATTGCAGGGTCTCGAAGAGGCCTCGTACGTATAGCAATCGACTGATCTCCGTTCAGTGCCTCCGGGCGTTGCATATGTTCCTGATTTTGGAAGAAGGCAAACTGCTGGCTCTGGGAACTCTCGTAGACCTAATGAAGAGCTCCGATAACCAAATGAGTATAACTCACAAACAACTCACTGCACTGAGAGTATTCTCATCAATGTTGGAGCAGCCGTCAGACACCACCCTTCTGACGGCTTGTATGAAATCAGAGGCCGTCGGCTCTCTGCCATCTCCGATATATCGTAGCTTCCTCAAGTGGTCGAGTAGGGTATCTCTAGATACCTGAACAGCGACAAAGCTACTATTGTTAGTGGCGTCAAGCCAGTGGTGACCTACGAGCATAATAATAAGATAGGGTAAATTGCGGACTATCAGATCTATCCTCATATCGGCCGCCATATATATCGGATTGGATTGGATAATGACACCTACGAGCCACCGAAGAGTGCCGAGTGTATCACCGCGGGACTGGGGCCCACTCAATGGCAGGAGGGCTTCTCCGAACGCTCTCGGGAATAGAGAAGTTTTATCAGATTCCTTGCTGTCTGACTGCATCGCAGGCACCATGAGAAGCGATAATGGCAATGGTCTCGATGTTGGATCCAGGGATAGTAGGGAAGCTATCAATTTACGTATCCGAGGATTCTAACATAAATGACATCATGTAAGGAGGTAGCAGCAGAAGAGAAGTTGGATAAAAAAGAGCGATAAAGCCCTGGTGCTAAAGTACGCGCAATATAAAGACCCAATTTTGTGTAACATGATTCATGTTTGAAGAGTTTCTATACAAATTTTCAGGTTGATATGAGCAGTAGTTGAGTAGTTGGGGATGCCACACGAAATTGGGTCTTTAGATTGGGCGGAGTGTAGTCCTTACACGAACGTGATGTGTTGCTTGAGCTACATGCGCCTCGGACTCCTTATCATTTCTACCACTGCTCCGGGCCAAGGAGTGCCTGATGGAGGAATGGTCACAACTATATATATGATCACTGGTATTACATCCTGAGGGCGTCCGGTAAGTCAAAGATTGTATGGGAGTGATCAGCGCTGAAGATCTCAGCGATACAACAGCCGAGGCTGAAGGAATCATACTGCTGCTGTGTCGATGAGAAAACCTCGACAGCGTCGATACACATAGGTCAATTGACTGGATCGATGAGTACTGGATCATTTGTTAGAAGTCCTAGGCCGCCATTGCTCCGAATATCCGTATCGAACCTTTCTGGAGCGATATAGCATCTATTCCGTGCCATATAGGACTACGGAGGGAGACGTGCTTGAATAATATGAATGGATACTGTGCCACTACCCCTCTGTGTGAGATCTCTCGATCCATCCCGGGTAGGTCACCACCTGGAGGTGCAATACCAGATGCAGTGGCAAAGAACAAAGAGAACACGGCACTAGCCGCCTCTCCTGCTGGTAAGGTTGCCGGTTTCATCACTCCAAACGAGCCCAAGTCACCAAGCATAACCTTCACAATGAATGCAGATAGGAAGTAATCCTGACCCGCTGACCTGCTCGCTCCCGCCGACAATGAAGACGTTCTCAGTTTTCAAGTCTCCGTGGACTCGTCCGAGTGCATGCAACTGGGCCAGTGCACATACGAGTTGGTATCTATCTCGCAAAGGCTACGCCTGTGCATATTTACCATGTCATTAAAAGAAAACGCAAGAGTTGAGCAAGTCCAACCCACTATTCAGAACTACACTCAGGACACTACTACTCGAGGCCCCTACACCTAGAAAAGCAAGCCCACGTCTCATCTGTCGTGATTAACTTACAGGATCCACAGCTTCATCATTTCCGTCAGTGTTGGTTGAGTATAAAGCCTATCCGTGAGTGTCCGCTGCATGTATCTGACATAATGATTTACACCCCGCGATGTGGTGTCTCCTGGCTACTGTCTGACTAGTACGGCACTAGCATCCGACACTAGGATGTTGGAGTATGGCAGGAGATTAGGATATAATACTGCTTGTGCTGCGTACTCGTCGCGCAGGTTAATCTGAATATAAATCCTGGATTCCAGTTTGCCAAACATAAATGGACAACTCTCTGTAGCCTCCCCATGCTATTACTAATGACATTCGTATGGGCTCGAGGAAGTGGATTGTTATGGAATCGCCTCCGCCACGTAAACGAGGAGGTGTAGACGCTCGACTACTCTGATCATTATAGCTTTTCCCATCACTCGTGCGGTCCATATACAAGCCCGGTACTACCTTAGTAAGATCGCTGTCGCTACCGAGCGTCTGCGATAACTCGGGTGCCGGTGTCAAACTCGAGTCTGCTATCCTGCTGAGCTCCCCAGAGGCAGGCTGTTGCTGCTGTAACTGTACAAGGGTTGGCACGAAGAGCTTGCCAATGTACTCCACAGCTGGTGTTATCGGGGATCCGAATAGAAACACCTGATCAGCCATACTCTCGTACATTAATCGCCCGTGTAGTTCTCAACGTGACCCGTTGGAAAATGACACTTCCTAATGATACCTTGAACAGCTTGTAAGACGCAATGTGGCACTTCCGCTCCTGCGATATTTCCGGATAATCATTCAAATAGGAGTCCACTTGTGAGAGCTTGACACTCGACGCCGGCTCCATAGCGTACTCAGGACAGGTCGAACACCGTAGACCCATTCGACAGGATTAGGATTGTTGGAGTAACTAATTTGAGTACGGGGTATAAACCGGGTATGAGCTTCACCCACACAGGGGAGGAAATGATTGGCCCCAAGCTTCAACTACAAGCCTTGTAACTCCTGTTATCCCATTAACACTTTACCAACGCAATAGCAAGTGTCTATCGGCAAACAGAAATCGCACTGTGTCATTGCATGCTGTCTACAACCCTATTAACGAATGATATTGCTGCCACTACCATATGATGGGCCCATACTAGCCATCTCTTGGTGTTTCTGGACCTATCGTCCAAAGCCGTCTTTCACACAATAAGATCCACCACTAACCTTAGCAAAATTGAGTCCTCTCAACTCGATACGCCAACCGTAATCACCCAGTGTAATCGGGGGACGTTTAACCACAATATGGAACCTATGAAACGATTGCACTGCATGTACAGTAGCAGTGAAGCTGTACCGTGGAGGGTGGGACAAGCCCATATCAGTGATGGTGAACAGCAAGTCTTGCTCACCATTCGGATCGATATACCTGGAGTTGAGCCGATGCGAAAGGACCACTTGAACATATCATCCGACCCGGCTTCTACCGACATACTTTATCACGTCTGGAGCGACCGTTGAGCCAACAAAAACAAGTCTTTCGACACCAAGCCCTCCTTGAGACCATGCAGACAACTTCCCGTGGATTCGAGTGGGCCGCCCTTTATCATCGAGCTTGTGGTGGAGTGGAATGCTCAAAGATTCGGCCTAAGGAAGTCGCATCATATCGGGTCGACAATACACTCTACCTTTAATGTTCTGTAACGATAATTCAGCTTCATGTAGAGGAATTGTCCGTCCAAATACTCATAACCATCACCAGCATCAATGAAGAGCCTGCCCGAAGCATGGGCCATCATACCACCTTCCTCAGCATCTATGGCACAATTGATATAAATCGTGTATCTGACTATTCACATATTCTACAATGCGAACAACTCTGTGGGCTCACGGATCGTTCTCCATCGCCTGTGTGGACCTTCTTCGCCTCATCTTCCGTGTGATAATACTCCCTGCACGCATGTACATGGGTAGTGAATGAGCCGGCAATCGCAACTCGTGATCCAAGCCTCCCTTCTTCCAGTCAAAGGAGTAGAAATCATACCTGGGATGAACAATGCATAAAAACGTAGCTGAGCCCTAATTGATATCCATAACCACAATGATGCTAGACCTACTACTACTACCCTACCATCCATCATGAGCGTGTCTAGATTGTGGTAGATACACATGATCGTTCACACTCTTATCAACTGAATGCGACACTGCCTTGACCAATATATCGTCGCCAACCTGATTACATCACTTTACCAATAGAAGTGCCAGCCGCTGCGATAACACTTACCATGATATGAGTATTCTGAGTCGCTTCCGCGAATGTATTGATATCGTCGTGATTATCGAACCATAGAGGGCGTATTACAGGCCTTCCACCCAATGAGTATTCCATGAACAGGGTGTACCACATCGGCATCAGGGTATACCTCACACTCACTGCTCCTCTCACATGTTCTAGTGCTTCTGGTCCGAGCATCCATGGCTCCCTTCTGAGGGTGTTCAAGTGAGCATGGGCCCGATAAAATGGATATGCCAGAGCCCCCAGCTGATGCCATCGGATGAAGAGCTCATTAGTGGGATTACCGAAGAAGCCTGGCACATCGGCACCCACGAACGACATGCCGTTGACCGCCATCGATAGAAGCATGGGCACACTATGACCCAGATGAACAAAGTCAGCCATGTTGTCTCCAGTCCAGATCGGACCATACCGATGCGACCCAGTAAAGAAGCTTCGTGAAAGGACGAATGGTCGACGCTTACCTTTGGATCGGCCCAACATTCCCTCATAAGATGCACGATGGACGTACATACCGTACAAGTTGTGTAAGTCTCGGTGTTCAACACCCGAGTGATGGACCACATCACGAGGCATAGTCATCTCGGGGCCGTTGAAGACCGACGGCTCGTTCATATCATTCCATATGTAGAGACCTTCACCGGACCCTTTGTACTCTGTGAAATTGAATAGCTTTGACCAAGTGGCTCTCACTGCCGGATCGGTAAAGTCGGGATACTTGGATTCACCAGGCCAACACGAACCCACGAAGTCGGTACCATCCTTGAGCTGGACGAAACCCTTTTCAGCCTCGAACCTTTGGTATACACTGTAGTCGTTATCGACCTTAATGTGTGGATCCACGATGGCCACCATCTTCCGCTTGGTCTTCACTACACTGTCGAGCATATCTTTAGGGTCAGCGAACCTGTCCTTATCCCAAGTAAAGTATCGTTTGCCATCGGTATGTTCGATATCCAGCCATAACACATCAAGTGGAACATCATTGGCATCGAACCTACATCCGAAGGCTCGGAACAAGCAGCCATCACAGCAAAGCCTACTGCTGATTCACTTTTTTCACATCAGCGATATCATCATAGTTCCACCGACTCTGATGCTTGCCCAAGGCAAACATGGGTACGGTAGATGGAAAGCCTGTGATTGTATGGTATTTGTACAGGACCTGCATACGCAAGAGCTATTCTGATGGCCAGAATCTCATTATCTACCTCGTACGGCTCTAGACCAGTTATGACAAACATGTCGACGATTCCAGACTCCGATAGAAACCAAGATTTAGCGTCGTGAAGCGGCTGCTGGATCTCCTTCTCGTGATAATGCGGGGTATCAACTGAATACCAAGATGATGCCGTCCGGTCCAGGAATGAGGACACCTTTGACAAATGTTTCCGAGGGATTATTCCATAGTAGTCCGGTAACGAAGGGCTGATCGAAGTGGGCCTCATGATTAGGATCATCCTTGTAGTGGAAAGATAGTAGGAAGGGCGATCCACCATACAAAGACGTCGGTGAATCAACTGGATACCTAGAAAACGAGGATGCGGCCGATTATGTAGGTCGGCGGCGTTATCAACAAAAGTAATGAGAGAACCTAACCCACTCGAAGACATCGGTATTGTATATCCTATAGGGTTCCTCTAAGCGGGGCAAGTCAAGACTTGTCGAGTGACCAGCCAAGCCATATGCATGTCGAGATGCCACCATGGTGACATCGATACCAACAGCAGCTGGTCCGCGGGGCTTGGCATCGACAAACGAGTTAAATGTCTCCTCCCATAGGCCGGATGCATCTGCGAGGGCGGGTATATCGAAATTGAGACCATCAGCAGAAAACATACC